ATGATTATCTATCACAGCTCATAATAATACTCTTAAATTTAGAGCTCCAAATACCCCCACTTACCAGTCGGCATGCTTCTCAAAGCTTCAGACTGAAAAACTGCAGCTGTGTTTATGTGATAATTTAGAAGCCCTATTACATATGCAAGCAACTGGGCTGCATGACTCAATCACAATCATTCATTTTGCTTTTTTTGTATCGAAGAAATAAAATCAGAGAACTATATAGCACTATGGCCAGCTCTTTAAAATCACAAAAATCAGGAGATTGAAAATTATAGTCCCACCAACCCCCCCCGCCCCCACACACACACACAAATCTTTTCCCTTCCCCATTAAATAAAGTTTACAACAGAAATTCCAGATATATGTAGTTAAGGTGTGGTGTTCAGTTCAGCAAACATTTATTAAGGCAATAAAAAAAACCTGTATTATCATAATAAGATAAATTAAGCCATGAGTAAGACAGGCTTCTTACCCTGAGGATCTTGGAGCCTAACAGAAGATATTTGGAATTAAATCGTGTGCGTGTGTGTGTGTGTGTGTGTGTGTGTGTGTGTGTGTACATAGATAATATTCTTTATGGAGAACATCAATAAACAGATGAAGTTTGTTTCAGATGTTAATACAATTCTGGAATATTTTCTTTTGGGGATAGAACAGGTCAGAATGATTCATATTACTTGTGATTCACATGGCAACAATTTCTAAAGTATTTATTGTCTAGATCAGCCGTGGGCAAACTACGGCCCGCGGGCCGGATCCGGCCCGTTTGAAATGAATAAAACTAAAAAAAAAAAAAAAAAGACCGTACCCTTTTATGTAATGATGTTTACTTTGAATTTATATTAGTTCACACAAACACTCCATCCATGCTTTTGTTCCGACCCTCCGGTCCAGTTTAAGAACCCATTGTGGCCCTCGAGTCAAAAAGTTTGCCCACCCCTGGTCTAGATCCACAGTGACCCTAGCAAACGTATGTATAGTTCATCTCGCTATATATAACACCCAGATTCAGAAAACTTGTGTAAAAATTTTTTTTGTATAAATGAACACCAATTTAATAATACTGAATGATTAACTCAATTTTTAAAAATCAAAATCTAATTTAGGAGTTTTTCTAAATCTGAGCTTTTCTCATATTATTTTTGCTTATCTAATATGTGTGTGCATGGGATGAGGAGAATGTACTGGCTTTTTGGAAGAAAAATTTTATTCTGAAACATTCAAACACTTTTTTAAAGGTGCTATAGAGAAGTGGAACTTTTATAATTGTATTGGGACATAAACAAGGCTGTTTCCAATTTACTCCTGGGTTGCATTTCAGATGTTAAGTTGATTGGAATGCAAAAGTTTCTACTGGAAACAATCTCTTATGTGCTGAGTTTTCAAGAAAGCACACAAAAGCAATTCTTTTATCTAAAGCTCTTTAGCAATCGTTCTTCAACACTTTTTTTCTTTAACTTGTGAGGGCTTCAGGGGAGGGAGGGCAACAGCCTTCTTATTCCTCCACCTCAGTAGCCAGAACCTTCTCAACCTCTAAGTCACCGTGATGGCTAAGTCAGAGCTCCTGAGGTGATGGAAGAGGTGGCTGGGAAGGAAGACCTGCAGGACAGGACAACTGAGCTGTAAGGGATGAGAAGGTGGGTAAATGGTTAAGGAGTCTTTGCTTCTTTTCTAAGCAGCTATAGTAAAGAACCTCTATCACTGAGATTAATGAAAGGAAAAGAGACATCAAACAGAATGACTTCATTTATACACTCTTTAATCTCCAAACATAGATAGATAGATAGATAGATAGATAGATAGATAGATAGATAGATAATAGATGGATGGATGGAATAACAGTCAGACAAGCAGAGAGACAGACAGATGGAAGCTGTAGAGTCATAGGAAAAGATAAAGGTATACATGTGCATATTCAGATATTCAGTAGCTACAAGCCTGATTGCAAAGTTGGACTACATGGGATCTGATCTCTGATTTGCTACTTGGAAGTTGCATGATTTGGGGCATGTACTTAAACCTCTCTAAGTTCCCTGTCAGAAAAAGAAACACACAGAAATAATAACAGTACTGAGCTCAAACAATGTGGTAAAGGAGTAATTGTGATAATCCACATAAGTCTAGAACAGTGGTTCTCAACCTTCCTAATGCCGTGACCTCATGTCGTGGTGACCCCCAATTTCATTGTTACAAATTGAACATAATTAAAGCATAGTGATTAATCACAAAACAATATGTAATTATATATGTGTTTTCTGATGGTCTTAGGCGACCCCTGTGAAAGGGTCATTTGACACCCAAAGGGGGTGTGACCCAAGGGTTGAGAACTGCTGGTCTAGAACATAGGAAGCAGAAACAGCATTTTATGACACATAGTTGAAGGCTACATGGAAAAGGAGAAAGGCATATTCAACTAGAGATCAGTTCCAGTTTAACTAGATTTTTGACCTTGAATAGGTCCTTCAATTTCCTTGGGGCTCAATTTCCTCAGGTAAAATGAGGGGATAAGTATAGATAAACTAGTGCTTCTGAAATATTAATGTGCATAGAATCACCTGAGGATGTTGTTAAAATGCAGACTTTGATTCAGCAGATCTGGGGGTAGTAGGGGTGGGAGGTTCAAGGTTCTGAACTTCTAACCAGCTTCCAGAATGAGGCTGCTGCTGCTGGCCTAAGTATCTCACTTTGAGTAGCGAAGATCTAGCCAAGAGTGAATTGCAGCTTCAACACTGTAGTTTATAATTATGATAATGGCCCATATTTGCACATAAAGAAGTGATGAAGGATTTGGGTTCACTGAGAGGAAAACCAGTCTCAAATTATCTCCCTAGAGTGCTGATTGATTTTGGAAGTGAAGGTCAGGCCATAGCTAAGGGGTCAGAAGATTGCTGGCTGCTGAGAAGGTGGCCAAGGGGGATTGTTCTGTCATGGTCCTCAGGACAAAGGCAATTTTAAGAAGTGGAAGGAGGCTTGAGCAAATTTCAGTTGTTTTATTCTGGAAGGCAGCATGGCATGTAGTGAAGAGTGTGGGTTTTATTTGAGCTGTGTGTGTGTGTGTGTGTGTGTGTGTGTGTGTGTGTGTGTGTGTGTGTGTGTGAGAGAGAGAGAGAGAGAGAGAGAGAGAGAGAGAGAGAGAGAGATGTCAACTAGACACCCAGCTCTGCAACTTAATGGCTGACCTTGGGCAAATTGATTAATTTTTCGAGACTTTATTCTCTCTTCTATAAAATAGGAATAACAGTACTTTGTTGGGCTCTTGTGAGAGGGAATTAAATGAACTACTGCTTAAAATACATAGCATAAAACTTACATGAACAGTTGGGTTCGCAAAAGATTATTTATTAAAATGATCATCACCGTCACCCTAACCACTACCATTAAGTTAGGGACACTGGAAGGCTGAGCGTTATAATCTCAGTCCTATTTTAGTTTCTACCACAGTGGTTCTCAAAGGTCAGTGCGCACAGGAATCAATGGCTGGGCCCCACCCTCCAGAAATTCTGACTCAGTAAAGAGGTCTTGGGTGGAGTCCAAGATTCTACATTTCTAATGGATCTGGAAACCACACTTTGAAAACCACAAATCTGCAAGATTAATTCCTATAATTGGCATAATTAGGCGGTAAAGCATCCCTGGCAACTGAATGTTCCCTGTAAGTGAAGCTAACTTCAGGTGGGACATGTTCTTATTTCCATCCATTCTGATTAAAACTTTCCTAAAATGTATCATTTTCACTTTTGTCTCTGTGAGCAGGTGCTCTTAAATACTTAAATTCACTTTGGGGCTGAAATCATCAATAGTTCATTTTGATTCCAGAAGAGATGATAAAGTATGACTTTTGATACATGAACTTAAAGATCAACCTGAATATTTCTAGAATGTATTTCCGAAGGGTCAGTCATAGATCCATAAAAGAGATAGTGATGAAACAGGAGTCAGCATGATGAGTTCCTGAGAATAAGTATCTCGGGTTAAATTTATGTATCTTTTATTATTACCAGATTGTTAGATTGTTAAATTAGAGAAATGATGCAGGCATATAGATATTGGAACCAGGAATATGAGGCAATATGAAAGTGTGTCGAGTTGGAGGAGTGTCATCCTGAGTAGATGTTTCTTCTAGTTTGCCAGTGGATTCTATCCTCAGTCCTGTCTTCCTCTTTCTCAATTATGTAAACATACTAGTAGATGGCAAACTGAGCCAGAATAAAACACAATACCATTACCCATGGGTATTAAAACACAGGCAAGAAGACCGCTTGACAGGCATAATAGTTTGGAGGCTTGGAAGGGAGACCAGGGTAGACTTTCAAACCCCCCACTCCAATCCCCAACTGTGACTCTCTGATAGTTATGATCACTTCTTATGATCTATGGCAGAATAGCCAACATAGGTAGGCAATTGCCTCAGAGTTTTTGGTCTTTGTTGCCAGGATGACAGCAAATTACCTCTCCCAACACACTCATTACTGCCCATCCAACTTTTACCCCTTCACGTGTCTTCTTCCTTCAACCTGTTCTTAGATTGCTCTTTCAACTCTACAAAGATATGTGAAACCAGATCACCAAACTTGATAAGAAATATAAATGCCACAAGAGTAAGCAGACCAGTGAAGAACATAGGCCACCATTTGTGGGGTTTGGTCTTAGGATCTCAGAGGGTGTTTTTTCTATATTACGGAGAAATGAAATTATCCGAACTTTGGTCTCCAGAGCTGTCGTATGTTAACTAAAATAAAACTCAACCATCTATTTAGTTATCATTCACATTTCAATGATTGTGTTCATTTTATTAAAAAGTGACTTGGAAAATGGTTGCTACAAGTGAATAGAAGGTAAAATAGCATCATGCTATACGTTCTGCTTAAATATACTTGTTCAATTAAATTGGGATACAAACTCAATGTGTATATATACCCTACAATCACTAATCTCTCATTTGTTATTGCCAAGGGGATAATTCCTAATAACAGATGGAAAAAATGTTTTTTTAATATTGTATCAATAAAAATACCAGGTTTAACATGCCAAGAAAACCAACGATGCCAGGTGCTGAATTCATATTGCAATGTCTTTTGAACACCCAGCAGGAATAAACTACTGAATCCAGATACCACACAGTGCAAGAAAAAAATGTTTTAAATGGAAAGGAATTCAGAGGAAACTTAAATAATTCTCATTTTACTTCGCTACTTTGTTCGACATCTTCTTTCCCTGGGTGGCACCATACTAGTGAGGACTCTCTTAACAACATATCAGTTTTATTTGATAAACTGTCTAATTCACACTTACCTCCCATAGTCAATGGGTTCTTAAGTCCAGGCTAGGTTGGGGTCAGACAGGTTTTTCATTTATCATTCCTAATGATCTGTGACTATTCCACTCACTTAGGCTTTTATGTCTGAGATAAACATTTTGCTAACTAGTAATGGGTCACGCAAGCACAATAACAACTCCCTGCTAATTTGTCATCATTGGCCAGCTGACCTTCACTGGGTAAGCCAGATCCTCCCTTCTCTCATGACTCCATGGCGTTGGCAGTGGCAGTAACTATGTGTTACTTTCTCTCATCCACAAGCTGGGAAAATGAACCTGCATTTTAGAGTCCTTTCAACCTGATTAGGTTATATAACTGCTGATGTATTCTGAAAAGATGAATTGTTTTATATTGCAATGTTTCCACTGAGTAATAGAGTATCATGTGGGCAAGTCAGGAGAAAAGTATCAAATTACAAATTTAAATACACTGGCTCTGTATTCAGAGATATTTATAAAAGGGAACGAGGTGATATAAGATATTCAGGTACATTCTAGTGGTGCTGTGTATTTCCTAGGTTATTAATTTCCTTAGCTACACTTTTGGGAAATACTGCCAAACAAAAGAATTGTAAGTAATCCATAATTACAGAATGTGCATTTTTTTATCTTAGCAGCAACATTTGTAAAAATCATCTGATTTCTTGGTCCAATCATTTCTATCTATTGGGCAGTTTGTGAGAAGTATATTACTTGAAATGTCATGCTTGCAGGATTTTTTTCTTTTCCTGCTTTTTAAGGAAAACATTGTTTAAATGAAATTAAATTGTTTTTTAATAGAAGTGGATTAAATAACACGTTATTAATAAGCTCCATATTTTTCTCTATTCTCTATAAGATGCTGAAACATGCCAGTAAGCAATTTCTTAACCTAGAAAATCATTTCAGCAGCAAAGTTCAAATGCTCTGACAGTGGGAGGTAGAAACAGTGGTTCTCAACTGGGGATGAGCTTGCCCCCTAGGGGACATTTGGCAAAGTCAGGAGACATTTTTGGTGGGACCAGGAGGAGGAGGGATAGGAAGAGGTGGATGTAAGTGCTATTGGCATACAATGCAAAACACAAGGAAGATTTACCCAGCCCAGAATGTCTATGGTTCTGAGATAGGGAAACCCTGGTCTAGAATCTTGTTTTAAATGCAAATGAAAACCACTGAGGCAGGCTGAACTTTACATACCGGACCCCTATCCTTTTCAAAGGTGAGAATGTAGCAACCCTAAAAGATGAACTCGACCTAGGATACAAGAAGAAAGGAAACCTTTGTTCCTTTGTGTTCCAAATCTCATTAAGAAATACAAGTGCAAGAACCATTCCATTATAATGATTCGTGACCACATGTTCTTTAGTTCCTACAAATTGTCTTATTTGTTCTTCTTAACTTTAATATGCTGTAAATTGGGGCATGGCATCACCACACACCACGAAATGTGTTCTTCCCTTTTCTAATTGTGCATAAGCTGATGGTTGAAGTGTATGCTATCCTTCTGCTTTTAATTCTGCTCATAGAGCATAGCATTTAAAACAGGGTGATAATTCAAAGCACATGTTCTTCTAAACTTTTTTTAGTTCAAACCTAACAATATGACAAAAGAAAAACACTGAAAAACTGAGATGGGGCTTCAGGATAAATATAAATCATATATTTCACAATGATTTGAATGTTGGTTCTTTCTTTTTCAGGATACACTCTGGTGTATTCTCTTGCAACTTTATTCTTTTGTTCTGTCTTGCCCATTGCTTTAATCCTGACTTGATATATATATATATATATATATATATATATATATATATATATATATATATCCTAAACATTTTTCCCACTGACCACTGCCATCTATAATAATAAAAGTGTAATATGCTAATTATACTGGAAGTCCTTCCGAACGACCTTCCGGATGAAGCCAGAGCTGTGAGAGAAGCCGGGGTCTTGGGTGCCAGAGGGAAGCCAGTTCCGGCAGCCGGGGGAAGGAAGGCCTACTCTTGCATGAATTTTGTACATCGGGCCTCTAGTATATTATAAACCCTTTCTTATAGCTTAGAGTTTAAGCAAATTATCTTGGATAATTTCTTACAAGTCTCCATTTACTGGTCTGTAAATGGAAATACTATCTCTCTGAGAGGATTGTGTATAAGTAGGAAAGTGGGAGCTTAGAAGGTGTCTGGCACATAATAGATGCTCATTAAATAAAGCTATTATTTCTTTATGAAAAAAATCAGAGCAGGATTTTGAAATCATATACTCAGCAATATTTATTAAGCACCATCTATGTAGTATTTGGTACTGTTCTAGGTGTTTGGGAGACTTCAGAAAGCAATGTAGACAAAAACAAACCCTACTTTCATGGAACTGGCACACACACACACACACACACACACACAGAGAGAGAGAGAGACAAAGCACACACACAGGTAAAAACACATGCACACACAATGATAATATAAACATCCTGCAGCTCTTCCCTTACTTATTTTAGAAAATAAATGAGAGTAAGCACTCCTCCTCCAGTTGGCCAAAATGGCATGGTCGAGGACAATTAAGAATTCTGAAGGAAGATTTTTCTTTCGAATACCATTTCTTTGGAGTTTCAAGGAAAATAAAGGTATATTTCCAGAAAGTAGGAAGATGATCTCTCTTAAGAAAAAAATCAAACATAATGGCAATCAGTACCAAACCATGGGGAAGGAGGGAATAGGCTTTTTAGACACCATTTTAATAGCTGGCGAGATCATGGAAGGAGAAATATATCCACAGTAGATTTACTTATTCCTCTTGAACATAAAAATAAACAATCCATAGACTGCAAACAGACCAAGTAAATGACAGCACAACATAATTGCTAAAATATGCATGAAAAGGGAATACAAACTCATTACAGAATACATGAGTTCTTGGTAGAAATTCTTTTTCTGCCTCAGAACTTTGCCATCTCTTTGCCTGAAATAATCCCTCCACCTCTCCTCTTCACCTGACTGGTTCCTGCTCATCCCTCAGCACTTAGCTGAAATGTTCCTTTCAACTAAGAGACACCTTCCCTGACTACCCCATCTAAATTAGGTGCCTTCACACACCACCCTCCCTTATTTATCCTCTCTTTGTCTGTCTGTCTATTATCTATCTATCTATCTATCTATCTATCTATCATCTATCTATCTGGATATATTTTTAGGTGTCCTCCTACCCGACTTGAGTCAAAGTTCTACGAAGAGAGAAATCATTTTATATTGGCCACCATGATTTTTCCAGAACCTACTTTGTCCTCAGTAAATGTTTATGGATGAGAAAAAAGCTACTCACTCAGGGTATGTTGACTGCCAAGAGCCCTGAGACAATCAAAGCATGCTTCCTTTAGTTCTCTTGATAAGCTGAATACACCCTGCCCCTGTTGTTCTGTGTGCAAACACATTGCATTATTTGGCCTCAGTCTATTTTTCCCTGCGTATGTGGCAGAAAGTGAAAAATTCTTGGTATGGTGACAATCCCCTAGGCCCAAGCAAGGAACCAGGGGTAGGTAAGGCTTCTTGGAAGATGTTGCTCAATTAAAAGAGGAGAATGAAAGGGACCTATGATTGTTCTCATTTGGAACTTCTCAAACGACATGTTTGCCTATAAACCTCAGCCATTTGCCTCAATCAGATCCTAGCCACATGACATTGCTGATTCTCCCCTCAGTGGTGGAGCCCATTTTCCCTTCCATCCAACCTAGGCTGAACATGTGACTTGCTTTGACCAATAGAACTTAAGCACATGTGACATAAGCAGAGACCTGAAAGTGCTTGTGCTTTGGCGCTTGCTCTCTTGATGGTCTTTGGGCCCTGAGATCACCACCATGTGAAGAAGCGGACGAGGAGCAAAGCTGATCCACCACAGCCGAGGGCCTCCCAGCCTGACCAGTGGACACCACCAAACATGTGAGTGAAATGATCAGAGATTACCCAACCTCAAATTAAGAAACTGCCCAGCTAACCCACACAATCATGGGAAAGTAAATGGTTTCTGCTTTAAGCCACTAATTTGGGAAGTGATTTATTAGGCAGTCAAGCTAACTGATACAGTCACAGGTAGCATATTACTATGTGACTGGTCCAGGAGTCTATAAATTGTAAGTTTGGCACTAGTACCCTAAGATTGTCCAAGGGACTTCCTGATCCAAAGTTTGGGACTCACTGCATTCTAAAGCATTTTCCACTTAGAGATTTGCAAAATAAACTGTATATTAAAATTCTGAGGAGCCATGCAGTAAAAGAAAAGATACCTGCTTAAAAAATGCTAAAGATACCCTCCCCTTTTTCAACTTTTATGACCTCTTGGCATCACAGTATTGGCATCAACATCATTGCTGAAACCCTACTCTGAATGCAATGTAAAGGGGACTGAAGAAGAACTATGAGATCTTGGTTCTGGTTCAAGGTGTAGAGTTTACAAACTGTAGAGCCTTTCACAAATCTAATGGGGTAAAATTAGACAAAATGAGAGACATAATTTCTTCCTTTCTAGGCCACCACCCTATTCGTGTCACCTTGGATGGAAATTTTAAAAATGGTGCACGACACTTTGTCTTCTGTATGGTATTCTGTTTTTGATGAGTCATGACAACTCTAAAGTGGCAAATCATTCATTCATCTTGAAATCTTTGTTGAGAGTTTGAATGCTGGGGACATATTAGTGACCCAGTCTCTCTATGACAGCTTGTATTCTAATAGAGGGGGTGGTACATTTGTTCAACTGAGGAATCTACATTGACACATTATAATCATTAAAAGTCCATAGTTTACATGACAATTCACTCTTAGTGTTGTGCCTTCTATGGTT